GGGGGGGGGGGGTTGAGCGATGGAATTTTTTTCCATTGAATTGATTTTTTAAAAAAATATGGTTGATTTAAAGACAGCCTGTTTGGACCGTCACAGGTTGTGCCATGTCATAACTCTGTTGCCCCGTGTCATAACTCTGTTGCCCATAACTCTGTTGCCCACAACTCTGTTTCCCCTCAACTGTGTTGCCCACAACTCTGTTGCACACAACTCTTTTGCCCACAACTCTGCTGCCCACAACTCTGTTGCCCACATCTCTGTTGCCCACAAATCTGTTGCCCACATCTCTGTTGCCCACAACTCTTTTGCCCACAACTCTGTTGCCCACATCTCTGTTGCCCACAACTCTGTTGCCCCGTGTCATAACTTTGTTGCCCATAACTCTGTTGCCCCGTGTCATAACTCTGTTTCCCTGTGTCATAACTCTTCTGCCCCGTGTCATAACTCTCTTGCCCCGTGTCGTAGCTCGGTTGCCTTGTGTCATAACTCTTTCGCTCAGTGGCAGTACTCCATTGATGTGTGTGTTTGCACGTGTGCTCGTGTGTTTGTATCGCCGTTCCCCTCAGGCGGTTCGTGTAGCTAGATTCCTACCTGTCCGGCACCGTGTCAACACTGGAATCTGAATGTTTAAATGGCCTCGCCCGGACGTGATCGATTACCATTTTCGATGCGATCCATTAATCAGCTGCCGGACTGCTACGAATACAAGGGGCGGTGAGGAAAATAAAAAAGGATGAAAATTATATTGCCAATGGAAATAACTTTTAAAAAGATAATAATTCTGGCTGAGCTTCTCACTACGATGATCAATTGATTTGAATATAAAAGAAGCGTTTTACCATTTATTGTATACTTTTTGACGCATGGACGCAAACCTGTATGGTTTCAAAGGTTTCTGTAATCGCCACTGAAAAATCACTACATGACGTTCAAAGTCTTTAGTTGAAATTTTTAGGGTAATCGAAACTTAAATAAGCACCTCGATACTCTTTATCCTCCTTTTTTGATACACCTGATGACACCTGGTGTGATGTGTCTTATTTATTTATTTATTTAGGCATTTTTATATAGCGCTTATCATAAAGCTCTAAGCGCTTTACAATTATTAAAACATGTAAACTAAGTAAATACAAATGAGACACTAGGATAGTAACTACTATTCTATAGAAACAATGAAAATGGCTATAAAAAGAGGACACTTTGACACTTCAGGATTAAACCGAAACAGAAAATTAGGTAGGGCAAGGAGGGTGCATCACAGGTCATAGGCGGACCTAAACAGATGAGTTTTAAGGGACTTTTTGAAAATGGACGAGGTTTCACTATGACGTATATGGAAGGGGAGCTGGTTCCAGAACGTGGGCCCATGGAAGCAGAAGGAGCGTTCACCGATGGTCTTAGTTTTAGTTCTTGGGATTGAGAGGGTTCTACTGTCAATGGAAGAACGTAGTTGTCTTGTGGGGATGTAAGGAAGCAACAGTTCAGAGAGATAGACAGGAAAGTGAGGGTCAGTGAACGAGTTGAAGCAAAGATTGGAAGACTTGTATTTGATGCGAGAGGATATTGGAAGCCAGTGGAGTTGCCGCATGTGTGGTTGAATGTGGTCATGTTTCTTTAATTTAAAAATGAGTCTGCATGCTGAGTTCTGTGCCTTCTGAAGTTTTTCTATGTGGTGTTGAGGAATGCCTGAGAGAAGAATGTTACAGTAGTCAAATTTTGAAAGAATGAGTGAAGAGACGAGAGTTTTTGTGGCATCATTAACGCAAGAGCCACTGACAGACTACTGGTGTGTTTTGTCTTAACGCAAGAGCCACTGACTGACCACTGGTGTGATTTTTCTTAACATAAGAGCCACTGACAGACTACTGGTGTGATTTGTCTTAACGCAAGAGCCACTGACAGACTACTGGTGTGATTTGTCTTAACGCAAGAGCCACTGACAGACTTCTGGTGGGATATATCTTAACGCAAGAGCCACTGACAGACTACTGGTGTGATTTGTCTTAATACCAGGGCCCCAGAATACTTTTCTACATAAAATGGCTTGAGATAATTATATTTATTGAATAGATGAAACTGATTATTTGAATGGACTATACTTACATAGTAACTAGAGCTAGCAAAGTACACACTTAAGCAAGTAAAGTACACACGTTTAACAGCTAAAACATCTGGAATGTTATCTGTGATTTGAATTTTTCCCATTTCGAAGGACATGGTTTGTATACGTTGGGAAGAGAGAACTGAGATGGAAGGGAAAGTGTGCTGGACAAGGGATGGAAGGGAAAGTTTGCTGGACAAGGGATGGAAGGAATGGAAAATTTTCAGGACAGGAGATGGAAGGGAAAGTGTGGAAGACATGGGGTGGGAGAGGAAGCGTGGAGGACAGGGGAGGGGAAATGCAGAGGACAAAGCATTTATTCTCTTCAGTAGAAAATAAAATACCCGCCCCCTAAATCGCACCATATTACAGGAAGGTTTGGCGGGGGGGGGGTCTATTCGCCCGTCCTAACCCAAAGCCCGTCCTCTCCCCTCCCCAACACACCCCCACCACCACCCCCTCCCCACACACACACACGAGTGCAATAATCGATATGTGATTCACAGGTATCGCCACGGCTGGACGTGAGTGGTAGCCGAGAGCTCACTCGCTCTGCGTCCAGCAGGCTGTTCGACTCACCCAGGCCCCGTAGCCAAGATTGAGTGAATTTATCGCTCGGTGGTACTCACTCTGTTGTGTGTGTTACCGCTGTGATGTCGAAGCGTTCTGATTTTCTTGGCTGAGAAATCCCCCCGGCGTGTGATTCTCTGCTCCTTTCAATGGATAGAGGCCGGTATTGTTGTGGAGGGCAAAGAGAAGGGGGGGGGGGGTTATAATTCTGAAGTAGCCAGGATTTGTTCAGTTGGCTGTGCCTATAGATTGATGTGTTCAGTTTGGATTGGCCTAGATAGAGGTGTTCAGTTTATGTCGAAGCGTTCTGATTTTCTTGGCTGAGAAATCCCCCCGGCGTTTGATTCTCTGCTCCTTTCAATGGATAGAGGCCGGTATTGTTGTGGAGGGAAAAGAGAAGGGGGGGGGGTTATAATTCTGAAGTAGCCTGGATGTGTTCAGTTGGATGTGCCTATAGATTGATGTGTTCAGTTTGGATGTGCCTAGATAGATGTGTTCAGTTTGGATGTGTTCAGTTACATGCGTTAAGCTAGAAAACAAGAGGTGTTGTCATTTCAACAGAATTCCACTTGCTGCGTTTATGGATTCGTGTTTTTAATTAAAGAAACGCCCCCCCCCCCTTTCTTTTTTTTTCCTCCTTTGCCCAGGAGGATTCGAGGCGCGTGGTCAACTTATTTTTTGGTTTTGTTTTGTTATACAACTAGGTTTGGTAGGACGACCAGGGTTGACCAGGGTTGACCAGGGTTGACCAGGGTTGACCAGATTGGGTTGCGCCACAACTTAAGTCTTGAACTGAATTTATGCTCATTGATGGTTAGACTCTGAGATGCTCATTGATATGTTTTCTTATATGTCAGCCCCTAAGTCAACACAATATAGAGATTATGTTAGAACATACAATGAAGTTATTTTCTCTAATATGACCTCCCCCCCCCCCCCCCCCCCCCCCCACAGAGAAACGTACTATTTCTGGCCATCCCTGGGTCCGGACGCAGCCATTCTATCAATTAAATTATTAGGCGACTATACATATCGATGCTATATCTGTACGTCAGACACCGGAATGTCCCTGGTACACTATCTCATCAGTAATGTACCAAGTACAGTACCAGTTGTACCCAGTACAGTACCAGTTTATCAGCAGAAAAAACAGAATAAAAGAAAACCTCCAGGACAATCTGATGGCAAACGTGATACAAGTAACACAACAAGTAACGCAGCAAGTAACGTAACAAGTAACGCAACAAGTAACGCAACAAGTAACGAAACAAGTAACGAAACAAGTAACGCAACAAGTAACGCAACAAGTTACGCAACAAGTAACGCAACAAGTTACGCAACAAGTAACCATGGCATAACAACCGTCCCTTTAGCAGAGTCTGAAGAGCGTACAATTTGACAGTCACGTGATATGCTGACGTCCTTTGGTACGTCAAGACAGGCTGTAGTTCGTTCAAAGACATTATTATTAAAGCTTAATTGATAGGATGACTGGGCTGCAATGATATCTGCCGTCGTATGCTCGATTTTGGGATATATATGGCCTTAGGATAGTTCTTTCTAGTGTAAATGGCCTTGGGATAATTCTTGCTGGTGTACATGGTCTTGTGATAGTTCTTGCTGGTGTATATGGCCTTGTGATAGTTCTTGCTGGTGTACATGGCCTTGTGATAGTTCTTGCTGGTGTACATGGCCTTGTGATAGTTCTTGCTAGTGTATATGGCCTTGTGATAGTTCTTGCTAGTGTACATGGCCTTGCGATAGTTCTTGCTGGTGTACATGGCCTTGTGATAGTTCTTGCTGGTGTATATGGCCTTGTGATAGTTCTTGCTGGTGTACATGGCCTTGTGATAGTTCTTGCTGGTGTACATGGCCTTGTGATAGTTCTTGCTAGTGTATATGGCCTTGTGATAGTTCTTGCTAGTGTACATGGCCTTGTGATAGTTCTTGCTGATAAATATGCCCTTGTGATAGTTCTTGCTGATATATGTGGCCTTGTGATAGTTCTTGCTGATATATATGCCCTTGTGATAGTTCTTGCTGATATATGTGACCTTGTGATGGCTCTTGCTGATATATGTGGCCTTGTGATGGCTCTTGCTGATATATGTGGCCTTGTGATGGCTCTTGCTGATATATGTGACCTTGTGATGGCTCTTGCTGATATATGTGGCCTTGTGATGGCTCTTGCTCATGTACATGGCCTTGTCATGGTTCTTGCTTGTATATGGCCTTGCGATGGTTCTTGCCAATGTATAGGGCAGAGTAGCGTTTTTTGTTCCCAACAGATTGCAGAGGCCAGCGCTGCCTGATTGATGATATAATTAAATTGTTTTCGCTCAGAGCCCCCCATCTCACCCACCCCCTTATTAACCTCACACACACTCAACCACACACACTCAACCACACACACACACTCACTTTCAGATCTTTGTGGAATCGAGACGCCCTACGCGTCAATGTTCCTTGGGTTGTCTACTTGTCTCTGTAAACTCACCACTGGCATCGGCCACGGCAGAGTTGTAATACCCACAGCCGTGTCTCACGGCTCTATCCGACGGCTGTGCTGTAAGCCACAAACGAAGTCACAGCGCCATATCCCACACAAGCTACACAATGAGATCGTATGCTACATACATACGCCATTCAGAGTGCCTGTCTTGTATTCTTGCATTTAAACGACTAATTATTTATTCAGTTTTTGCTGCGACTGTCTTAGCTGTAGCGCCGCTCCTGTATCTAGTCACCTGTCAATACCATCATGCAATTTGTTACATTGATCGTTAATCGATCAGCGACAAAGTGTGTCTCAGCTCAAATGGGGGTGTGTAGTTTTGGCCTTACACAGGAGCCTGCGTGTGCTGGGGCTTTTCTTGAGACATTGACACACCTGTTGTAAGATGGAGACATTGACACACCTGCTGTAGGATTAAAACATTGACACAACTATTCTAAGATGGGTATATTGACACACCTGTTGAAAGATGGAGACTTCGACACACCAGTTGTAAGATTGAGACTTGGATAGATCTGTTGTAAGATGGAGACTTGGACACATCTGTTGTAAGATGGAGACTTTGACACATCTGTTGTAAGATGGAGACATTGACACATCTGTTGCAAGATGGAGACTTAATGTGTACCTTTAGTACAAGAACTTGTCACCGTTTTGTACAACACATGAGTGTTTGTGGAAATGAAACACCAGTAGTTGAGTGTTTGTGACGATACCCACGCACACCAACGGACACACATCGACGCCCAGAGACACTCACGGACTCACACGGACATCCACGGACAACCAGGACAAATACAAACATCCACAGACTCTCATGGAAACCGACAGCCACCCACAACTTAAGATGAAAAAGGACCGCACGCTTGAAATGACGAAATCGGTTGGACTATCGATCACGCTCATTAACTTATTGATTATTGGTGACGTCATGGTCACCAAATTAATTGTGAAATAAACACTTGGCTGAACGTCACGGGTGTTTGAAGATGAGCCAAATTTATGGGACGGGTGCAGTTTGGGAGGGGGGGAAGGCAGGTATTATCCTGTGGGTCAATCTGAGCATGTGCACTGTTTGCCAGAGTAGATGATTTAGTTAAGGTGTACTCCAGTGGTCTTTATCTAAACTGTATTAGTTACCTAAGGGGGGGGGTGTCTAATGTGTATTAGACATTACCTGTAGGGGGTGTCTAATGTGTGCTAGACATTACCTGTAGAGGGGTGTCTAATGTGTGTTGGACATTACCTGTAGGTTGTTGTCTAATGTGTGTTAGACATTACTTGTAGGTGGCTGTCTAATGTGTGTTAGACATTACCTGTAGGTTGTTGTCTAATGTGTGTTAGTCATTACCTGTAGGGGGTTGTCTACTGTGTGTTAGACATTACCTGTAGGTGGTTGTCTAATGTGTGTTAGACATTACATGTCACTACATTTCGGGCGATGCCGCTGGCACCTGCAGGTGAACTCAATTGTTTTCAGCCAATCAAAAAAATCAGTTTTTTTTATTTCTAACAAATTGCAGCGTTTTGGGCACGTGACCAAATGCCACGTGCAAGGAGCTCGTGCCTTTCTCATGGATCCACTCGTGGATATGCTTAATTCATTAAAAAAATAATTAATAATTTAAAATAAATTTTTAACTTAATATATTATAAGCTGATGTCACAGAGCACTGTCTCGTTCCGGTAGTTAGTGGGCCTGCTGCTCAAATCAAACAAACAAATAGTGGAACAAGATAGATTATCAACTAAAACAAAGAAATAGTGAAACGAAATATATTATCAAATAAAACAAAAAATAGAGGAACAAGATAGAATAACAAATAAATCCAAAAAAATAATGGAACAAGATAGATTATCAAATAAAGTTTTAAAAAATAGTGGAACACGATAGATTATCAAATAAATCAACAACAACAAAATAGTGGGACAAGATAGATTATCAAATAAATAAAAAAAATTGTGGAAAAAGATAGATTATCAAATAAAGTTTTTAAAAAATAGTGGAAAAAAGATAGATTATCAAATAAATTAAAAAATAGTGGAAAAAAGATAGATTATCAAATAAATTACAAAATAGTGGAAAAAAGATAGATTATCAAATTAATTTTAAAAATTGTGGAAAAACATAGATTATCAAATAAATTAAAAAATAGTGGAAAAAAGATAGATTATCAAATAAATTTAAAAATTGTGGAAAAAAGATAGATTATCAAATAAATTAAAAAATAGTGGAAAAAAGATAGATTATCAAATAAATTAAAAAATTGTGGAAAAAAGATAGATTATCAAATAAATTAAAAAATAGTGGAAAAAAGATAGATTATCAAATAAATTACAAAATAGTGGAAAAAAGATAGATTATCAAATAAATTTTAAAAATTGTGGAAAAACATAGATTATCAAATAAATTAAAAAATTGTGGAAAAAAGATAGATTATCAAATAAATTAAAAAATAGTGGAAAAAAGATAGATTATCAAATAAATTACAAAATAGTGGAAAAAAGATAGATTATCAAATAAATTTTAAAAATTGTGGAAAAACATAGATTATCAAATAAATTAAAAAATTGTGGAAAAAAGATAGATTATCAAATAAATTACAAAATAGTGGAAAAAAGATAGATTATCAAATAAATTTTAAAAATTGTGGAAAAACATAGATTATCAAATAAATAAACAGAACAGTGGAAAGAGATAGATTATGAAATAAAACTCGCGATTAAATGTTTGGGATTGTCTTCTTTTTTGTGTGTTTTTGTTTGTTTTTATCTTAAAGACCAATCTGAAGAAGATCTGTTGGCTGGGTCAAGTAGTGCCATTAAGTGGGTAATGGAACGCCTTTAAATGGGTTATCCAGTGATGTTTATTGGTATCGATCATTTCCCCAAAGCTGAACCCCCCCCCTACCCCCCGGGGGTTGAAAACCATGGTCCGGTTCTGTTTGCATCCCGATGGGTCAGCTCTGATCGGCGTCACCCGAGCAATGTCCATTTTGTGATGCTGCATAACTCTCTACACCAGGGTACCCCGGTCTTATTCATGGTCACGGAGGACTGACGGTCGGTCCACTGGCCTCTGACAACTGTTGGACAATGGGCAATGGACCTTGGCTTGACAATGGGAAATGGACCTTGGCTTGACAATGGACCTTGGCTTGACAATGGGCAATGGACCTTGGCTTGACAATGGGCAATGGACCTTGGCTTGACAATGGACAGTTTTAAAAAAATCAGCGCTGATTGTTAATAATCTATAACTATAACTAAGAAAAATGGGTGAAACTGACTAGTCCTTACCCCCAACTATAACTAAGTAAAATGGGTGAAACTGACTAGTCCTTACCCCCAACTATAACTAAGTAAAATGGGTGAAACTGACTAGTCCTTACCCCCAACTATAACTAAGTAAAATGGGTGAAACTGACTAGTCCTTACCCCCAACATTTTCCATCGCCCGCCCCCTCCACCCCCCCTTTTTTTTTCCATAACTCGCCCCGCCCCCCCCCCCCCCAAATAACTGAATTTTCCTTACCCCCCTCCCACAATAACTTACTCTTCCTAACCCCCACGGCTAGCTGCCTCGTCGTAACCCCTACACTGGCGTTCTTGTCATACACCTCAGATGCACCAGGAAAGGCTTTGACGTTGGGACTTGTGTCTATCTGCTGTCCCTAATCTAATTGCAGTGATTAATGCCGTCAATGTTTGAAAACCCCAGGTACCATCAACCTGAGCCCCGTTCAATACTCACGGTCAATATTCACGTGCATGGTTTATGAAATCGCATTGAACCCAGACCGTTAATGGGAATTTTACCGAAACAAATATCCCATTCCATCACATCTGTCTACCCCACCTCGCTGAAAAATCTAAAAATAACGCATGACGTCATGTCCACGTTGCTTTGTTTTCCTGACGACTTCGTACTCTCGAACGCCTTCGCTTGGTGCAGTGAACAAACGATGTGATTACTCTCAAACGCCTGCAGGTGTTCCGATGAACAAGTCGTATGATTATGTACGCACTAAAAAGCATTGCTCTGTGTTGGCCATCCTTGTTGCCCGTCAGACCTAATTTAAGTATCTTTAGGGAGTCCATATGTGGAACCAAGTTTCAGATCGTCTCAGAATAGAAAATTCATGTTAGAGAAATTCAGTATAGTAATTGACGCAGCTTAATTTTGGATCATTAGACTATAACCCCACCCCCCCCCACCCGGCTAAGCCCCACACGCCTATGAACACACCACACACTAATGAGCACACACCAATGACCCCACCCCACACACCAATAGTTTACATTCAGATTACGTTACATGAGAACGCCATGAAGTGTTTAGCAGAAACTCTTTTAAAATTTAATGTAGCCTTCGTTAACATCAGCTAAACCTATGGTCATATCTATTACCCATTTATTCGCCTCTAAACATTATGCGAAAAATATTTGTATAGCGTAGCCAGTATTTTTTGATTGGCCAAGAGTGCTAGATACTTTTTTCATGGCCCCTATCCAGTGTTTTGATTGGCTAAAATGTGTTATATATATTTTGTTCTCGGCTCCTATCGGGTGATTTCATTGGCTAAAATGTGCAAGATAATTTGTTCACGGCTCCTATCCTGTGATTTCATTGGCCAAAATGTTTTATATAATTCGCCTTGTGTTGTTCGCTAAAGTCAATGCTTAAGAAATGAGATGAATTCATTTGTGTACTGTTTTTGTTTTTTTGTAAAGAAAGTCTTTGAGATTGGCATTTTTTAAAAAGAGAATCAATTCTTTTTTTTTTTCTTCTTCTTTTTGTATGGATTTATTTAATTTTCTTCACGTTGACAGGATTTAGGAAACAAAAATTCATGTGACTGGATTAAAAAGAAACATTTAATTGTGAGCTTTATTAATTAAGCAATTCTCCGAGGAAAAGGATTATTGGCATAAAATGTTCAGCGGATAATCAGGATTAATGATTACGCCCAGCGCCTGGGTCAGAATTAATGGGTAAATGACGGTCTCTTTTTGAAGGCTGAAATAATTCAACGGAACACAACAACAAAACAATTTGCATGTGGAGTTTCCCGCCCAAAATGAGGTTTTCACACGACAACCTTATCTACCTCCCTAATTTACACGGGTGAGTGAGTCGGTCTGTCTGTCCTCTCTATCGCTGTGCCTCGCCTCCACAATGGCGGAGACTTCACTAAATGAACGGTGTCTTCACACGGCAACCGACCCTTCGTGAACTTTATTTATTAAAGATTTCTATGAACAAATAGTGTAACTATATCCTACTTTGTTCCTCGTAATTTTAATGTGTGTTGTAAGTGTTGGTAAGTGTTGGTAAGTGTGGAAGCTAATCTGATTCTAAACAGAATTTGTGTATTTTCGATCAGCGGTTTTTAAAACCGTGGGGTGTAAACCTTTGTGCTTGTGAGAACCGTTTCTTTTCCCTTTTGAATAACGTTTTCGGTATAAGTGTATTGCATTTGCGCCCGCCAAGGTCTAGGTCAACAACAAACTGTTAAGCTATCAGACGACGTTATTTAAAGACATTCATCCTGATGACGTGCCACTGAAGCAGACGTTATATTTTTGTTTTCCATAACTTCTGCGGTGTGTGTGTGTCAAAGACAATGATGGGTGTGTCACAGTGGCACATCCGCTATTGGCAATGATGTGTGTGTCATAGCAGCATATCAGTTATAGCCAATTATGAGTGTGTCATAGCAGCACATCCGTTTAGGCAATGATGTGTGTGTCATAGCAGCACATCCGCTATTGGCGATGATGTGTGTGTCATAGCAGCACATCCGTTATAGCCAATTATGAGTTTGTCATAGCAGCACATCCGTTTAGACAATGATGTGTGTGTCATAGCAGCACATCCGTTATTGGCAATGATGTGTGTGTCATAGCAGCACATCCGTTATAGCCAATTATGAGTTTGTCATAGCAGCAGATCCGTTTAGGCAATGATGTGTGTGTCATAGCAGCACATCCATTTTAGGCATCGATGTGTGTGTCATAGCAGCACATCCGTTTTAGGCAATCATCTCGACGATATATCACGACGAACGTATAATATGAAGGTTAAAGGTCATTATACGTACCCTGGAGTTCAAATGTCATTAAACCTACAAGAAAACCGTTCTTCTTAGCCCGAGAAGGCTCGGCCCTCAGGTTTGTTTTGATGGCCCTGGACAACAGGTTTGTTTCATCTATGGCCCAAGTCATCGGGGAATTTTCATTTGGTTTAGGTCATGGGACCGTTTCATATAAGGCCCTCGATGGCTTGGTCCCCAGGGTTGGTGTTTTTTACATGTAGCTCAGATAGCCGCTGAAATGATCTTCTGAACGTAAATGAAGACATGCCCCTCAATACAATCACTATGTCGCAAGATATGCACTCGCTTAACCCGGTGTTTTGTTGTGTGAGCTCACAGAAGATGTCCGTCCTCGTGACGGCAGCCTTTAGCCCACGTCAATTTTCATTAACTCCCGTGACAGCCGTGACAGCCGCGACAGGCGGGTCTTGAAATCTGGCTCATCCTTTCAGCGGCTGTAGGGATAAAGCCGTACGACTGTCGCCTGTTGCAGCCGGTCGTCTCGGTGTTCTTTGTTGTTGTTTTCTTATGTGCCCTGGAGCTAACGGACACATTGAGCTTAGTTGTATTTCAGAACTGTTCTCGGTGAGCCATTCGTGTAATGCAGCTAACGGACAGACTGAGCTGGTCACCTGTCACCACTCTTCTTGGTGGGTCATTCAAGTAATGCGTCCGTGTAGCGGAGAAAGCATGCAGCTGTTCTAAAGATGAGCGCCACGAATTTGTGGGTTTCATCTAACCAAACTTCGACATTAAATGTTGCTGGTTAGCGCGATGTCGACCCAGTCTCCTTTTGTCATTCTGTATTCTCAAATCTGGGTGCACAGATTGCTGTCGATTCCTGCCAGACCCTAGGCCAGTGGTCGACAAACTCATTGGGCCAGTGGTCAACAAACTCATTGGTCAAAAGAGCCAACAAAATCAGCAGCGGGACTGTAAACAAACTTTTTTGAGAGCCAAATTTCTATTCAAGAACCTGTCAAGAGCCATGTTTTTCGGAGTCAAAACCGATTTGTGGCCGACTGGCCGAGCCGCACCCAGGTCGTCTGAGAGCCGCATGCGGCTTGTAAGCCGCAATTTGCCGACAGCTGCCCTAGGCACAACACTGGCGCAGATTGCTGTCGTCTCTGCCACGGTCGGTATAAAAAAAAAATTATAAAACCAAGCTGGAAACTATATGAAGGCCAAAACGTCTTAATTTGATTGTGTGCCTTTCATTAAAACATAGGTATACTTAGTGGCGTATGGATACCTGGGGTGAGGGCACTATTTTTCTCTTTTTATGGAAAGGGGGGGGGGGGCAAATTCAACAAACCACAGAGGAGGTTTTAGTGGAGGGTGGGCGGTGAAAATCTTCGCACGCCTAAGTGGCGTATGGATACCTGGGGTGAGGGCACTATTTTTCTCTTTTTATGGAAAGGGGGGGGGGGGGCAAATTCAACAAACCACAGAGGAGGTTTTAGTGGAGGGTGGGCGGTGAAAATCTTCGCACGCCTCTGGCGGCACTAACCCTAGCTACGCCACTGGGTATACTGTCTCTAAATTACTTCGACGGTACGAAACTGTATCCTTAGTGCGCCACTACGCGGCTTTTACGGGTAGAAATAAATGATTTCCGACCTTGTTTTTTCCCGTCAAGTAAATGACGTCATAATAATACTCTTTCTAACAGATTTTACATTTCAGCACATTTCAAAATCAAATATTTCCCTATGCCCTACATTACTGACCTCACATCTAATGACATATTGACCTCTGACCTTTATTTCCTTCACAGCTGTGAGTACGGTGCCCTGCGTGCCCCACCACTACCCTTCCCCCCACTGCCACCAGAGTTATCGGACATGGCCGACACCAGCATCATCATGACCACCAACGGCCCCAACGGCAGCCTCAGCAGCAGCCCCAACCACCATATCCACCACCACCACCACCTCAACAACAACAGCCTCGGTGGCGGCAGTCCCAACGGGACTCTCGTGCAGCAGGACGGCACTACCAGCACGGCGACATCCACGATACTCACTGTCCGGATGATCATGCAAGGAAAGGTAGGTCGTTTTATACTAGGGTTAAGGGACGGGGTGGGCCAGGTGTGATGCTGTTGGGGGTTGAGGATGGAGTCTGAGAGGTGTGTTTGTTTATGAACCGTCATGGCCATTATGACTGATGGCCTAAGTCATTTATGTCCGTATGTCAAATGTAAATGTCATTTAGTTTGAGAGTCTAAGTTGACACTGTCTGCATGACAGGAATTTTTTGTTTGTGAGTTGGGAACACAGGGCAGTGAAGGGAACTGAAGTGCACGCGCCAAGGTGATGACCTTTGATAAAACTATTGGTAGCGATTCGCTTTACACATATTTTAAATCTTGTCAGTAGACACCAAGAGTATTCTGTCATTAAAATTATAGTCTTGAATCTAAAACTTTAAAACGAATGTACACAAGATTGTTCGAGAATAAAGAGATAGACTCTATGCCCCCCCCTCCCTCAACTCCGCTTGTCTTGTGTAACCTCCTTCCATAATTAGCCTACCCGTCAGCTAATTGGCCCTGCCCTCCCCTCTCGGACCATAGTCCTTTTATGGTGGCTCTCTATTCTGACAGCCATTTGAATTACGCCCAGACAGGCAATCATCATTCAATTACCCCCCACCTCCCTGTACCCTCTTAGACCTAACCACACTCCGTCCACTGGCAGATGACTAGAATACCAGGTCAGTTTCAGTACCACAGGTACCTGAGTTTGACAGTCAGGTTGTAGGTTGTACACAGCAAGAGTGGTAATAGACGTGATTGGATCCTCGGTACTGTGTTTATCCAGTGGAAATAAACGTCATTGGGTCCTGGTTACTGTGTTTATCCAGTGGAAATAAACGTCATTGGGTCCTGGTTACTGAGTTTATCCAGTGGAAATAGACGTCATTGGGTCCTGGTTACTGAGTTTATCCAGTGGAAATAGACGTCATTGGGTCCTGGTTACTAAGTTTATCCAGTGGAAATAGACGTCATTGGGTCCTGGTTACTGAGTTTATCCAGTGGAAATAGACGTCATTGGGTCCTGGTTACTGAGTTTATCCAGTGGAAATAGACGTCATTGGGTCCTGGTTACTGAGTTTATCCAGTGGAAATAGACGTCATTGGGTCCTGGTTACTGAGTTTATCCAGTGGAAATAGACGTCATTGGGTCCTGGTTACTGAGTTTATCCAGTGGAAATAGACGTCATTGGGTCCTGGTTACTGAGTTTATCCAGTGGAAATAGACGTCATTGGGTCCTGGTTACTGAGTTTATCCAGTGGAAATAGACGTCATTGGGTCCTGGTTACTGAGTTTATCCAGTGGAAATAGACGTCATTGGGTCCTGGTTACTGAGTTTATCCAGTGGAAATAGACGTCATTGGGTCCTGGTTACTGAGTTTATCCAGTGGAAATAGACGTCATTGGGTCCTGGTTACTGAGTTTATCCAGTGGAAATAGACGTCATTGGGTCCTGGTTACTGAGTTTATCCAGTGGAAATAGACGTCATTGGGTCCTGGTTACTGAGTTTATCCAGTGGAAATAGACGTCATTGGGTCCTGGTTACTGAGTTTATCCAGTGGAAATAGACGTCATTGGGTCCTGGTTACTGAGTTTATCCAGTGGAAATAGACGTCATTGGGTCCTGGTTACTGAGTTTATCCAGTGGAAATAGACGTCATTGGGTCCTGGTTACTGAGTTTATCCAGTGGAAATAGACGTCATTGGGTCCTGGTTACTGAGTTTATCCAGTGGAAATAAACGTCATTGGGTCCTGGTTACTGAGTTTATCCAGTGGAAATAGACGTCATTGGGTCCTGGTTACTGAGTTTATCCAGTGGAAATAGACGTCATTGGGTCCTGGGTACTGAGTTTAACCATGTCATCTGCTGTTTTCTTTTTTCTTATATGATCTGTAAGAGCTGCTGAAGATTTAGGAGGAGTTGGGGGAAAAAAGGGGCGGGGGGGGTATGAAATGATTTGCTCCTTTCCCCGTAAATCTGCTGGTCCTGTAAATCAGTTCCCCGTAACAGAACAGTGCGCCAGCGGGATAAGAAGTTGTATACTGTGTCTTGTAACATCTCTCACCGCTCAAGAGGTTGCTGCTCCTCTGCTTTCCAAAGAAACGGATAAAGAACTAGCTCAGGTTGTTTCGAGGGACTCCTGACTCTGTTGACTCCTGACCCTGTGGGCTCCTGGCTCTGCTGGCTCCTGAAACATTTTGGATGTTACACTTAGTACCACCCGGGGCGGCACAAGATTTGGGCCGCCCTTACCACAAATATAATTCTGTACTTGGTTGAAAATGCCAACCCTTAATAAAATTAGAAAAAGTTGTCCCCCTCCCGGGGACATACAGCCCACCCGGGGACATGCAGCCCACCCGGGGACATACAGCCCACCCGGGGACATACAGCCCCCTCCCCCACCCCAACCTCCGTCGTAGGCAACACTGGTGACACGTCCGTTAAATAACCGGGATCTTACAGACAAGCGACACGTTATCGATTTTGATATCGGGTGTAATCGGTCAAACCCGACTACTGTATGAGCCCCGGGGAGGGTGGGGTGGGAGAGTGGGGGAGGGAATGGGGGGGGGGGAGTTGGATGTCCCATGAAAAAAAAATATTCGCCTAAGGGATTGGGGTCAAGCTGACACTGACATAGTGGTGAGTCCTGGGGTTGACAACGGTGTGTGATTTTCTAAGGTTTTAAAGACAAGCGACACGTTATCGATTTTGATATCGGGTGTAATCGGTCAAACCCGACTACTGTATGAGCCCCGGGGAGGGTGGGGTGGGAGAGTGGGGGAGGGAATGGGGGGGGGGGGGTTGGATGTCCCATGAAAAAAAAATATTCGCCTAAGGGATTGGGGTCAAGCTGACACTGACATAGTGGTGAGTCCTGGAGTTGACAACGGTGTGTGATTTTCTAAGGTTTTAAGGCATTAAGTTTGAGAGAAGAGTGCTTGCACAGAATCGTACCGGATCTGGTTGACACAAAGTATTCAAGCTAAGTTCATAATCGGTTACATAAATATAAATCTCTCTCGCTCAACCCATTCCCCATCCCTTTTCAACGACAAACTCAGCCCGAAAATCCACTCCCAGAAAAGAAGTAACATTTATTGCTAATTGTCCATTGGTCAATTTCAGTTTTAGAAGATAGATTAGTCTTTATTTTTGAGGTGACTGTTTGGTTTGAAAGACGACACCACTGCAGAGACATTGTACGTTAAGTTACGTGTGTATCTTATAATCGTCTATCACATGCTTTAAAAAAGTTTGGACTTTCTATTAGTCTACAGAAAACACAAGTAATGATGCAAGATGCACCGTCCCTTCCAATCATATCTATTGAGGGTCATAATCTTTCGGTTGTTGAGCATTTCACATACCTTGGATCCAATATTTCTAAGTCTCTCTCCGTTGATGAAGAGATAAATATCAGGATCACAAAAGCAGCAGCAACTATGGCTTAACTGAATAAGCGGGTGTGGAATAATATCAATCTAACTGATCAAACAAAAATAAGTGTATATCAGGCATGTTTGCTTAGTACGCTCCTATATGACAAATAAGTGTTGACCACATATGCCAGTCAGGAGCGGAAATTCAACAGCTTCCACCAAAGATGTCTGCGTCGCATTTTACGCATTCGATGGCAGGACAAGGTGCCTAACACGGAGGTCTTGGAACGTGCACACATGTTTGGCATATACTCCTTTCTTAGCAAGAGGCGCCTTCGCTGGTTAGGCCATGCAAGGAGAATGGAGGAAGGCCGTATCCCAAAGATGCTGCTGTATGGAGAGTTGGTAGAAGGGGCAAGACTTATTCGAAGGCCACGCCTGAGATTTATTGACGTTTGCAAAAGGAGCATGAGGGCAGCCAATATTAAAAACAACGAATGGGAGCTCATTGCCGAACAACATTACAGCTGGCGAACAGCAGTACATGAAGGCGTCAAACAAGGCAGAAGATCCGCGAAACGAGGCCCTTGCAACACAAAGAACAATACGGAAGTCAAAATCTTACCAAGAATCAATATTCTCTTGCTAGAAAACCAGTCGAGTTTGTCATTCTAGGACTGGCCTAGTGAGCCACTCGTCGAAGTGTAAAACTATATAGCTACTCCGTCGTCTCGCGAAGACGGAAGGATGCCATATATTATAAAAAGGATTAATCGCTAGTAAATGGTCGATCCGGGAGATCGCCCTTGTCATGATTCTGTAGAGCCCCTTTTTATTGTCTCTGTACGCCCCTTGTCAATGTCTCTCAATCTGCCTTATCACTAGACCACACCTTGTCAATGTCTCTAGACCACACCTTGTCACTAGACATCACCTTGTCTCTAGACCCCACCTTGTCTCTAGACCAAACTTTGTCACTAGACCACACCTTGTCTCTAGACCACACCTTGTCACTAGACCACACCTTGTCTCTAGACCCCACCTTGTCTCTAGACCACACCTTGTCTCTAGACCACACCTTGTCACTAGACCACACCTTGTCTCTAGACCACACCTTGTCTCTAGACCCCACCTTGTCTCTAGACCCCACCTTGTCTCTAGACCACACCTTGTCTCTAGACCACACCTTGTTACTAGACCACACCTTGTCAATGTCTCTAAACCACACCTTGTCACTAGACCACACCTTGTCTCTAGACCCCACCTTGTCTCTAGACCAAACTTTGTCACTAGACCACACCTTGTCTCTAGACCCCACCTTGTCTCTAGACCACACCTTGTCTCTAGACCACACCTTGTCATTGTCTCTAGACCACACCTTGTCTCTAGACCACACCTTGTTACTAGACCCCACCTTGTCATTGTCTCTAGACACACCTTGTCATTGTCTCTAGACCACACCTTGTCGTTGTCTCTAGACCACACCGTGTCTCTAGACCACACCTTGTTACTAGACCCCACCTTGTCATTGTCTCTAGACTCCACTTTTTCATTGTCTCTAGACCCCCACATTGTCAGTGTCTCTAGACCCCACCTTGTCATTGTCTCTAGACCCCACCTTGT